AGGTATTTCCACTAACTACAGTACAGAGGGAACTAAATCAAGAAACTTTATCATGAATACTTTATCCTCAAGAAAGAAGAGCAAAATTGGTAGGAAGCAGTTAAGCCTTCACACTGTTATTCAATCAGAATCTCCAGATCCCAGAAGAAGGCACAAGAGAATTACAGAGAACCAGGGAGGCAGGGGTGGCTGGCTACAGAATGTGATGGATAGACCCCTGGCATAAGGAGCTGCAGATAAAGCATTGTGGGGAAGCACCCTGACAGCCCGCAGTATTCAAGACTGCAGTTTCTCCATTTATCACAGCTGATTAAAGACAAACCGCAGATAGCCTCTGATTCTTGACAACATAAATTCCCCTCCTTGCAGACAACTGGACAATGGGTCAGGGGAAGATCCTGTCATGGAGGCTGCTCCATAAGTGATAAATGTAAATGTCTGCTGGATTCCAGCATTTGGGTAGATGAGTGTGTTCCTGTACTCTCCTACAACTTTAGATCTATCTGTCTTTTCAAGAGAATGGCAAAGAGAAGCAAAGGAAATTTCATCTGCCAGTTGGCCAACTCTGAGACTGGAAGGAATTTCTCTTGTTGATAGGTAATAGGAAAACAATCACCACCTCAACACAGGAATGAAAAAAACTCTAGTGCAAGGAAATAGAGAGCTATCTGAAGACTCCAAAGAAGAGCATACAACTGAAGATGATTTACTACAGGAAAAGAAGACTTTAGAAAATGTATCTCTGTACTTAATGGAAGGCAGGGGAGATAGTGTCTATTGATCATTAGTAAATTAAAAATATAAGGCAACTAAAATTTCACTGTGGAATTAAAAATGCCATTGGAGGCAAAAAAGCAAAACTGACTCTGCTGCTGGTCAAATAAGTAATTTGTAGGATGAATATGGTTTTGTTTTTCAGGGAACCTTTCTCACTTCTCCATGGACAGTGCTCACAGCTCAGATTTCTCAAAACACAATCTGCTTACCTTTATGAGCCCTTACTTAGCTGTGCTTCTCTGTAATTGCATTTGGTGTTTGGGTCTGTCCCTTGACCGTGTGTTGCTTCAGGGAGGGAGTATGACTCATGTATTTCTACCCCTCCAAAGCAGCATAATCTCTGACCAGTGGGCCCTCGTTAAGGGCCTGGTAAAGGTATGAAATGAGAGCTCACAGTCGATTTGGGGTTCTTATTGGTTTACATTTTTATTTTTTTAATCAGCATGCTAAAAACTCAGTCTACAACCAAAGTATCACAGAACACTGTTTAGAGACTGGGATGTCAGGATAGAGTTAAAAGATATGGACTGGAAAAAAAAAAGTGTTTTTTTTTTTAAAGAAAAACAATGTTAAAACAGTGGACAAAGAATAAGGATGGCATCAAGTAAACAGTAAATTAAAAAGCAGTTAGACTATTAGATTGACTAAGAATTGAGAAAATGTTACTTTCCTAAAGTCATTCTAGGAGTCAATAGATTAGTTGAGAATACATAAAATACATCTTATCACAAGAGCAGGGGCCCTCCCTCTCACTTCTTTTCCCTCCCTGCGCCTTTTTTCTTTCACATTTCCTCTTAAAAAGAAAAACAACAAACCTTCACCATGCTTTGGATTTGCCAATGACATCTACAGACATTACAGTGCGAGCTGTTATAACAGATAAAACCTAAATTTCAGTGGCTTAAAAAAGAAAAGGTATCCCTGGATAAAGTCCTAAAGGATCAAGGCTGACCTTTAAAGGCCTTCAGGGACTCAGACTGCTTTTATCTTATGGTCCCCCTCCTCTAAAGCCTTGGAATCCTCTCTATTTCAGCTGGCATATAGAGGTCCATTAACAGATAGAACAGAGGTTAAAACAAGGAGGTTTTTACAGACCAAAGCCACAAGTGGAGAACATGGCTTTGGATATGTCCTATTAGTGCTCAGTCACATGCATGCATACTAAGTCGCTTCAGTCATGTCCAATTCTTTGCGACCCTATAGACTGTAGCCCTCCAGACTCCTCTGTCCTTGGGATTCTCCAGGCAAGAATACTGGAGTGGGTTACCATGCCCTTCTCCAGGGGATCTTCCCAACTCAGGGAATGAACCTGCATCTCATATGTCTCATATACATATATATATATATATCTCCTCATTTAATCTTCAATATCATTTGATGAGTTGAGTGTTTTTATTACCAGTACTTTATTGACAGTAATATCAAGACACAGAAGGTTAAGCAACTTGACTGAGCCAACAGGGTTGAACAGTGAAGAAAATAAAACAAATCAGACTACTAGTGTAGTGAAAGTTTCTAGTAAATGTCCTGGAGTTCAAGTTCATAGGTTCTATTTCTTTGTTCTCAATTATTCTTGCCATACGTTATTCCTATTCCTCAAAGTACTTATCACTTGGGGCTTCCATGATATTCCCTATTCTTGCTTCCCTGCAACCTCATTACACTTTATTACATGAACACATTGATCTGAGTTTGTAAAACCTAATAGTTCCTGTCCTTTCACCTCAAAAGCCTTGCTATTTAAAGCAGGAGGCAAAAATCTAATTTAGCTGTTTCCTAAGCTGTTTCCACAACTTATTTATGCAGCAAAACCCCTAAACTTCCTCTAAAACAAAGGGCATATATTCTATCTATATATATACTTGAGATATTAAACAACCTCACCTTTTTTGGAGTGCAGATTATGAGAAATCTGTTTCATCCCACAGACAGAATCCAGGTCATGGCAGTGAAAGCCTGGAATCCTAACCATTAGGCCACCAGGGAACTCCCATCCCTTTCCTTTTAGGAAAGATTTTTTAAACTTAGTATCTTCTGTCTTTCTGGTGCTGAAATCTGGTATAAAACAAGAATTTCTTTTAAAGAAAGCTTTTCAAATATTAGTCATTTTAAGTGAGTCACTCCCTAGAAGAATTTGCTTGGGAGTCAAAGAAAGGTGACTTTGATATCCCAGAAACAAAACTCTGATCAATTCGTTCATCCATTTTGTCTACTATTAATCTGTTCCGACGGGGAAAATAAAACACTGAAATTTAACTGGTCAGTAGAAAACCCTCTTTCTGGTTTATATTTTACTAGTTGCCAGTTGGAACTTCAGGCCAAACGTGGTTTGTAGAACAGTCTTGTGGCACAGACACTGTATCCATCATACAGAACAGACAAGGCGCTCTGAAGTGCCAGGCGCTGGAAGAGTGAGGAAACATTTTACGTGACAGTTACCTATAAATTCAATCCTCTAGGGAACCTGAGGCTGAACTCCTGGAAGGCTCTTTTGTCAGCTGTGCCTAAAGCAGGGTCCTAGTATGTGCTCAGGGTTGTAGGTCAGTTGGTAAAGAATCTGCCTACAATAGGAGACCCAGTTCGATTCCCGGGTCGGGAAGATCCCCTGGAGAAGGAAATGGCAACCCACTCCAGTATTCTTGTCTGGAGAATCCCTTGGACAGAGAAGCCGGGCAGGCTACAATTCATGGGTCACAGAAGAGTCGGACACGACTTAGCGACAAAACCACCACAGTAGGTGCTTAATAAAGTGATGTTGGAAAAGTCAATGAGGCCAAGATGGAGCTCACACATGGAGAGCAGAAAGAGTTCTGAGTTCTAGAAACTCTCAATGACTTTTGCAATTGGTTTGGTAGGTCATCCAGACACTAATCTTTTCTAAGTTCTAACACTTACCTAAAGGAAGACGGATCAAAGACATTTCACACAGTGAATGTATGTCTTTGAACTTCCTGAAGTTGACTGGGTGGAGGCCCTACCGTTTTAGGTTGGCACGTAAACGCGGCACCTGCAATTTCCGCCCTTCTCTTTCCGCTCTTCCTGGCTCCTGGTCCCTGCTCCTCGTCCCTCCCGCGGCCCACTGCCCGCTGGGTCAACCCGGGCCCTGGGAACAGCACGTCCCTCCCTCAGAAGAAAACAGGTAATCATCGCGTTTTAAACCACGGAAGCTTGAGGTCTCTAAGTGAAAGCTTTATTTTGGACAGAAAAAAAATCAACCTACGAGAAACGAGGGAATACAGTCCAACCTCTATGCCTCCTGTCATGTTACGGCCTCCAGGGCCCCCTCAAAGCCTCCACCGAAGGACGCCGTCTTTCCCTCTCAGAGGCTGAAGGCCTGGTGAGAGCCTCCTCCCAGGCCTCACCTCCCGCCAGCTCCGCCCGCCACACCTCACTCCCACTTGGTGCCCACCCATTGTCCCCTCGCAGCTGTCACCGCGCACTGATGCCCCAGCCCCGATTGGAAAAACCAGCTGGTCGCTCAGTCCACAGACTGGGACCGGACGCCTCCCTCTCTCCCGAACCTTAAAAGGCCTCCGGCCGCGGTCCCTGAGATAGCAGGTAAAGCGGCGGCAGCGGAAAGGAGAAAGGGAGGGGCCGCGTGCCCCGATCGCCCCGCCCGGCGTGTGTGTCAGGGGAAGCTGGGGGGGTCTAGCGCGCCACATCGCCCCTCCCCGACCCTTTGACCGTGCCCCACACCCACAAGTCCAGATCAGAATGCCAGCGCCGAGGAGCCGCTCTAGTAATCTAGCACCCGCCCGCCCTCCGCGGCCGGATGCCCCCGGGGGGCAGTTACCGCCGCGAAGCACGGAGGGCGGGGCGGGCCAGGCGGATGGGAGGGGGCGGGGGTGTGAAAGGTCCCGGATGTTGCCGAACGGGCGCCCCTTCTTGAGGGAGTAATTGGCGCAGGCGCAGAAGGGTCGCACGAACCCTAAGGTGGGGGTGGGGGAAAATTGCCTCCCGGCGGATTTTGGGGGAGCGAGCCAGAGAAGAGTTGCGGGGGATCCGAGGGGAATGCGAGGGAAACGGTGGGGATACTGGTGACCAGAGGAAGAAAAAGATTTCTATTAGGGCACCCTCAGGACAGGAGTAGAGAAGTTGGAAGCCGAGGGGGCTGGGGAGGAGAGTTGGGAGCCGAGGGGACGCGCGCGCTCCTCCGCTCGCCCTCTAGCGCGGGCGGGCAGGACGGCCGCGAGCTGGGGAGCGGCGGTTGCTCTGGGCCCCCAGAGCTGTGGGCACCAATCAACGGTTGCCATAGCAGCGTTTGACGTCATCGTGCGTGTGGTGCCCCTGCTGCCGGGGCTGGTGATTGGAGGAAACCCCGTGTCTGCGGAGCGGCTGTAGCCTGTGAGCTGCGAGATCCAGGGACAGAGTCTCAGCCTCGCCGTTGCCGCCCAGAGACTGCTGATCCCCGTCCGTCCGTCGCCACCTACTCCGGACACAGGTAAGGGACCCAGCCGCCGTCGCCGCCTCGCCCCGCTCCTTCCTGTCCCAGGCCAAGCATCCGAAAGCGCGGGAGCAGTCCCCGCTCCGCATCCCCTCAAGCCCTGCTCGCCCGCGGTTGGGAGCGGCGCTGGGCTGAGGCGGAGTCTCCTCAGGCGGAGACGGGCGGCGGCTTCTCTTCCGCTGGGTTCTGGCGGGCGGCTAGCGGCCGCCTCCGGCTACTTGCTTCCGCATCGACGCTTCGGCCCGGAGGGGCGCCCGGTCTGATCCGGTCCCCGGGGATGGGGGGGGGTGGTGGGTAGGGCGCCCGCACGCCAGGTTTCCCCCAGGGACCCGCCCGGTCGCAGGCCTCCCGAGGGTGACAGAGGCAGCGCCGGCCGCGATCCGTTCCTTTTTCGCTCCCCCCACCCACCCCTGGCCACGGGGCTGCGAGCCAAGGCGGCCCGGAAGCGCCCGCCAGGTAGAGCGGGGCGAGGCCGTGCTTCGGTCGAGCCGGTCCCGGGGTGGGGCTCGCCCGAGACCTCGAGCCGAATTTCCCGGGTTCCGCGGGGGTGGTGGTGGGGGGCGGGGAATACTTGACTATTCCCGGCGTGGTGGGGGGGGGGGGATGGGGCTGGCTTTCCGTCTCCGCGTGGAGGGGGTGGGGTGTTCGGAGCCCGGGTAGGGGATAGCGATGAGGGTGGGAAAGACGTGGGACCACAGGACTCGCTCCTCCTCCCGGGGGTGGGGGGGCCTGGTAGACCTGAGGGTCCCTGCGTGGCTGTGTGTCGACCGGGACCCCGCTCGGCGGGGCGGGTGAGCCCGCGCGTAACAGCCGGCGGCTGCCGGGCTCGCCTGGGTGTGGCTCGCCCCCTCCCCCACTGGTTGCAGCTGTCGGGTCCCCGGAGACTGAAGGAGCACCCGCGGCGGCCGGTAGCCGACGAACGCCGATGGGAGAGTGGGGTGTGTCCGCGGCCGGCCGCTCGTGGTTCCGCTTCTACGGGCGGGCGGCCCCGGCGTCCGTGTCCCCGAGGCGGGCAGGCGGCTCCCGATTCCCCGCGCAGGCGTGGGCGCGCGGCGCCTCCCCCGCCGCGGCCCCGGTGGGGGAATTAACACTAGGCAGTAGGTTGGGCTCCTTGACACAGATCCGCCATGACAAAGAGGGAGAAGCGGGGACTCGCGCGGAGGCACCAGCCTGGGCGGAGCCAAGGAGGGGGGTTGCGGCTGGCGCGGACGGAAGGGTTTGCCCTTTAAAGTCACAGACGGCCCGTTGTCGTTTCACCCACCTCGAAGTCTTCCGCAGGTGAAGGGTTAAATGGGTGCGGCGAGTCCTGGGAGCGCTGCTTATTCTTTGAGAAACCTAGTCCACTTCCCCTCGTTACCGAGGGGTTTGGGAGAGGAACCTTTGTACTGGCTGTAGATAATTTTCTTTAGAAGTAACATTAGCCGGAGAGCCTTTTTTAATTTTTAGGGGGGGAGAATTGGTAATTGCAAGAAAGGGGTTGGGGAGGTTATGCGATAATAGATTCGGGTTTTGACATCGAAAACAGTATACTTCCTATTCAAGCTAGCTAGCTAGTTGTTTAAATACAAAGGATTGGTTCCGATTTGGTTTTTTAAAAAGAAATGTGGGATTTCCCTGGGAAGGTAAAGAAAGGGAGTCAGTTCCCATAGTGAATGACAGTGATTCCTCTTTTCATCGTTAAGTCATGTACCCTTTGGGACCACTGTAGGGGCTAGTATCTTTCTGTGCTGCTTTAGGATCTTTCTGAAGGATGTCTTAAGGAATAGCATAACGGGGGAAATTGAAAAGTCCAGAGATTTAAAATGGGAAAGAATTGGGAAGTCTTGATAAGGGCAGCTTGAGTGATAATGTATTCAATTAATTTTTGACTACTAGAAACGAGGCACTAAGTCTGCATTTAAACAGAACAATGACATCAGAAACACTGATCACACTGGGAAGCATTTAGTATCTATTTTAGTGCTCACAGATATAGTAAGAATTGAAGTTCCAAGACTCATGGATTTTTTTTTTTTAAGCCCATGTGCGTATAACAAGGTACAGATGAATGAAGCCTTAGGGTTAGTTATTAATCCTTGGTTGTGGTTTTACATTCACAATATTAAAATAAGCAAATGTGGTCATTTCTCCCAGGAAATTTGCATGCTATGATCAGCTCTTGCAAAGATCAGTGGCCTTGGGGTGGGAGTGTTTTCAGCTAAAATTTAAACACTTGACAAGAGCAGATATTAATAGTAATGGACATGAATTACATTAAACTGACAGGAGTCATGATTCTGAAAGTATGGTAGTATTCTTCATAGGTGCTATTTTCACTAAAGAAAAACTGCTTAATTTTGGATTACCCAGTGATATTTGAAACTAGAGTTGAGATTTTGACCAAGTAAGATAAGGCTAAGGCAGCCTTTTTGGTCAGGTGTGCTTCAGTTTTATGTGAAATTAAAGATCTTGTGAACAAAGATGAGATAATGATTAGCAAATTTTAGATTTGCTAAACCGATTTTAATGGCTTTAAGTGTACACTATGCACGCTGAGTATGCCTTTTTTTTTCCCACTTATTCTGAGCATCCTTTGGTGGAGTTTCATTGAATTCCATATGTAGAGAATCTTCCATCCATAATTAGGTTTGAAGTGTTAACATGTTTACAAAGGGTATGATTTTTAGCCTGTTTGTTTTACTGGAAAAAATATCTAAATGCTGCTTTTTTCCCCCTGCAGAACATCCAGTCATGGATAAAAACGAGCTGGTACAGAAGGCCAAACTGGCTGAGCAGGCTGAGCGATATGATGACATGGCAGCCTGCATGAAGTCTGTAACTGAGCAAGGAGCTGAATTATCCAATGAGGAGAGGAATCTTCTCTCAGTTGCTTATAAAAATGTTGTAGGAGCCCGTAGGTCATCTTGGAGGGTCGTCTCCAGTATTGAGCAAAAGACGGAAGGTGCTGAGAAAAAACAGCAGATGGCTCGAGAATACAGAGAGAAAATAGAGACCGAGCTAAGAGATATCTGCAATGATGTACTGGTGAGAAACCTCTCAGTCTAGTGTCATTGTAATACAGGGTTTCTGTAATGATTATCAGTTCCATTACTCTCAACTTTTTCTTTCTTTGATTTCTCTTTTTCTTTTAAAAATAGGGTGTTCTAAATTTCCAAGTCTTTCAGATGTCATTACTAAAGTGTTAGAACAATTGTGGTTAGATTTGTATAAAATGAATTCTGTGATGATTATCAGTCAGCTCAGATAGTATATTTTGTTCTAATTGAAAAGGTAAAGTAATCGAATTATCATTTCAGTTGTGGTTAGAATATTTGTAGTAGTTCTAGAGCTGATTTTCTTAGAAGTATACAGATGCAGAAATTTTGCCTGTCTTGCTTTACGTGAGATGTAGTAGAAATTGTAGACCTAGTAGCCTTCCCTGGGTTAGCCACTGAAACGTTAATGTAATGAGTCAGCCGTGCAGAAAACTGGCTCGACAGTTGTTTTTTGCCTTTCTGCATTAAAGTATTGGAAGTCAACTTTGAACACTGACAACCACATTAAAAGATAATGAAAAACTCAAAGCTTGATTTTCCAGGTTCGGTCAAGAAGTATTTTAGGTATTCAGTGTCTACTCCGTTGAAGCACTGCTTCTCTAAATAGCTTAAAAGACTTGAACATTATATTTTGGTTAATTTTAAAATTTGCTTACAAATGGTGACTTTCTGTGTCAGAAAAGATGAAATAAAAGGACAAGTTGGCGAATGGTGCAACCATTTAGCATCTAACAGCCTGTGTAATCTAGCACTTTCATTTTTTAATGAACTGGGAGTTCGTGGAATAATATTTAAAGTGGGTTTAACTAAATGATTACTCTTACATTGCAGATGGGTACTCTTAGATACACATGGGTCTCTGACAGGGCTCCGGTACATAGATACAGGCTGAATCCCACTTCCTCTGAAAATCCAGCTGCACTTATTATTTGAATCTTGTTCATGGAAGAACTACTATAACAAGTTATATAGAATTATTTCTGATGGGGGTTTGGAGTTTTTGTTAAAATTGTAATGGTATTATGATTCCTTTACAGTAGTCTAACACTTAACTGGAATAGCTTCAGTTCCTAAATTGAGTATTTTTTTTCAAATGATAATTTACTTCAGACTGTCTTTTTAAAGAATAACATTTTCTATCTTAATGTGGGCTATAGTCTTTTCATGTGATATCTATCTTGTGGGTAGTTTGTTTTTGATTGCTTACTTGAAATCTTTATATTGATAGCTATCATTCATTTCTAAAATGAGAAGGGAGTTCCATGCTTTTCTTGAGACTAAATGGCAAATGTTTATCTTATGCTTTGCTAATGTAATAAGAATATTTAAAATTTGGAAATATGTTTCCCTATAATAAAAAAAACGCTGTTGGACTTGTCCCCACCTTCTATGCTCTGTTTACTGGTAAGAACCTGAGTGTGTTATTTAATTTTCTTCACTCTAATGTTTTTTCCCCCCAGTTATACCTGATAGATTAAATAATTAAGAGTTTTGTTATTTCCCTTAAGACAAAAGTCAGTTTTAGGAATAAAAGGGGGTATGGTAACATTCATCCTCTACTAACAGCTTATTTGCAATTCCAGGTAGGTATTTGCATGTTTTCCACACAAAAAGTATAAAAGCTCCCGTCATTGTGAGACTTCTCCTAGGAAAAGACTGTAGCAGTTTTAGCTTTAGTTTCCTTTGCTTTCTTTATCAAGGAAAAAAAATTCTGCATTGGATCAGTGGGTGAGAATATCTGGATTAATCTCTGAATAACTTCTCCTTTTGAAATGATTATTAAGATAGAGTTTGATACTGGTTGCTGATCACTATGTTGCTCTCCTTCAGAATTGCACACTGGCTTCGCACCAAATCTAAATGAAATTTCCAGTTCAAAAGTATAAATGAAATTTCCACTTTGAAAGTATAGATAAATGAAAGTTTAATTCCTTTACTATATAAAAGGCTCAGAGAATTCTAAACAAAGCTTTTGCTTCCAACCTTAAGTCTTTTCGGAAGTGAAGCTCTATCAGTGGATTTTGCATGGCTCATCCTTCCTAATATATAGTATATACTCAAATTATTTGTTAAGTAAATGAGCTTTTGGCTTCTTTTGGAAAAGAGGTGGAACTAGGTCAGCAGTACGGCTAATTTTCCAAGGCCTTTTCGGTTTCCACTTGGGGAAACTTGGATATTTACAGATACTGTGATTCTTTACAGGCAAGCTTCTTTTCCCGATCATCTTTCTTCAAACAGGTCCTGTTGACTCGGGAAACATCTTGCATAAAATTCCTTTTAAGTAAAATGGAAGAATAAAATATAGCAGAACTGTTATTTCTCCTAGAGAAAAAAAATGATTTGACCTGATTTGCTTGATAATTAGTGAACGTGTGCCTAATTATATCTCAATATCTTATATAATAAAAATGTAACCAGTTGTAATTTTTATTGCTCTAGTTTTTTTTCTTTGACTTCTAATTTGAGAAAAATAAGCAGATAATTGCTTTTCAGAATTAATATTGGCTGATAGCATCATTGATGAACCAGACTTCATTGTTCTATACTGCCTAAGAAAATATTCTTTGTCATCCTATTAGTAGGAACTAACCTCCATGGTTCAAAGTTTCTCTAAAGAGTTCTTTACTCTTATTAAGTTACTGCCATTCTGGTTACATGTACTTATCAAGTGTTTGTTTAATTTATACTATTTACTAAGCAGTGAAAGAGCAGGGACCATGTTACTTTCTACAGAAGTTTTAGAGCATTACTGTAGAACATGGTCACTGACCTTATTCTTCACAGCATGAACTTCTCTTTATGTGAAATTATGGTTCTTCTCTTCCTTGTGGTGTTAAATTTGAAATTATAGTATGTGAACTAATGCAGTCAGCCTTTTCTAGCAGATCTTAGACCAAATGTTCTTGTCTTAGTGGGGGAAGGGGTTGATACCTCTTCTGCCTAAAGTCACAAGAAGCCAAAAATTAGGTAGTTTTATCTTGAACATGATGAAATGTAAAATGAAATGAGCATGTGCATACTAGGTTGTACCTAATTCAAACTCAATAATACAACAGCCTAAAAAGAGCAGGTTTTGAGTCGTAACCAGTGTTACCTTTAAGTGGCCGGATGGCCTGAAGATACTGTTCATCAGAGAAAACTGAGCTCAGTTAAAAGGGGAGTAATACCTAGCCCATAGGACTGCTGTGGAGAAAATCAGGTAGAGCTCTTAGTGCCCCATTTATCTCAAATTTGGGACTTCTCTTTAAAGCTGCCTATAAGTTAATAGAGGTCTCTTTAACTTGGGAATCTAAGAATGAAATTTAAAAGGTCCAGGAAACCTTAAAAATTGTGTATCTTTCAAGGACAGAGGGCCCATACTGGCCAGCGCTGAAGTTTTCAAAGGTTTCATTTAAGAATTGAAAGCCTCTGGAATAAGTTAAAGAATGGCTTCCTTATTAGGACATGAATTAGTAAAATCCTGAGTCTGTCATTTGTAACAGTTGGCAACAATATTTGTTGTGTGATTCAGTTAACTTGACTGAGTTCCATTTTATTATGCTTCTCTACATTTTTAAGGTGTGGTTGCTGGGCACTGGTTTTTAGCTCCATAGAACTGCCACTAAGCAGGAGCAAGCTGGCAAGTGCCTTGGGCTTTAAAAGCTGCTATATAAGTTGAAAATCACAGACAGTTCATTTATTGGAATAAGGGCTTCTCAAAAGAATTGTGCAGTGTTATATTCATTTTCTTAACTGTATATTTACATGTTTTTGTCAAATAACTGCTTTTGGTATGTTTCAAAGTATAAAGACCTTATGTGACACAGGAGATAGCAGCAATCCCTTCCAGGAAGAAGTACATTGGACAGTCTTGGTAATAAAATTCAGTAGTCTTTTTAAGAGTTTTCTTGATAACTGTTAACTATTGTACCTGGTGAGGTAGTTTGCATATTTGGGAAGTCTGAGGTGTATGAAATGTAAAGGAAAGAAACAACGGAAAGATAGGTGTTTACTATTTGGTGGGAACGGGAAGACTAATAGCTTGGTCAGGAGCAACAGGTTACCTGTCCTTTTTCAGCGTAGCAATACTTAACATAAGAATGAAGTCTTTCCTGCCTGTTCTAGAAAGAGATACAGATGACCTGGAGAAGTTTAGTGATTAGATGAGCTGTAGAGATAGTTAAAAGTGAACTAAGGAATAGATTACTGGGTTAAAAGTTGAAATTCAAGCAGAAAAACCTAAGAAAGATCTTAAAAGTATAGGAGGAACATGTATACTTTGAACTCTTCAACTCTTCTGATCTGCCCAAGAAAGAGGAAGAAATTGTATTCGACCCCAGCAGAGGCATTTGAATTAGAGAGGTCGGGAAATAAAGATACCCTAGAGTATCTTTATAGTTTACCAAGAGTAATTTTGCTTTTCAGTTTTTCTTCTAAAAACACCCAACTTGGGGACTTCTCTCATGGTCCAATGGTTAAGACTTCGCCTTTCAAATGCAGGGGGTGAAGATTCACGCCCTTGTTGGGGGACTAAGGTCCCACATGTTTTGCAGGGTGTGGCCAAAAACTAAATGCCCAGCTTTGTGAGTAAAAAAATCTTATGGTAACGTCTCAGTAGTGGTACAGTAGAAGATCTTAGTTAGTTGGTTAATTGAAAAGTAGTTCAAATGTGTTCCTACTTGTTCTAAACATTTTCAGTTAAATGTGTATGTTCATTTGCCCATTTCTAGTGTGGAGCTAAGACCTTTTCTTTGAATGTGCATAGACATCTTTGAATAACCCAAGTGATATGTGTGTGTGTCTTCTTTAAAAATGGTCATTTCAAAACTTTCAGTATAATTGCATTAGAAATGTTTCTTTTCATACTTAAATTTGATAACAAAAATAGCATAGCATTTTAGTAATTATATCCAAGTATAATGGCGTAGCTTGGGGAACAAATACAGGACTCAATAATGGTATAACTGCTGATAGAAACTAAACGGGGTTTCAGGGAGTAGCTGAAAAATG